GCTTCTCAGGTTCATCTGAACTTTTTTAATCTGCAGGGATTTTAGTTTTTTCCTGTCATGTTTTAAACTGACAGTTTCACAGTTTTCTGTCCCGACTTTGCTTCCTGCCAGCTTCATTCTGTTGTCACTGTTGTGTACGTCCTTGTTTTCGGGTGAATCCCTTCTGTAAACACTTCTCGTTCCAAGTTTGCATTTCTTGTAAGCTTCTAACCTTCTTCCTGTTGAGCTTTAGACCTTTGCCCCCCTCCCAGCCTGCACCCTGCGTTATTTTTGCTCGTCTCAGCCTCTTCGTTCTGTTTCCTTTGTTCTTGTAACTGTTGGTTCTTTAATTGAAGCTTGTTTTTCACTTCCCTCAGAGGCCCGGGGTAATTCCGGGTCTGTTGGTTTGCATGAAATTAGTGAAGATGTGAAATATGAAACAGCTGCTTTACATGTATCAGAACCTCAAATTCAAAGATGGCCAAACAGGACATGGAGGCAGAGTTTTTGTCCTGCACTGTTCACCTGTCGCTCTGAGCAGATAACAGGATGTGTTTCAGACTATTTCTGGGCAGATGTTCTCACTGCATCTTTTTTTTTAGCTCCAGTGTTTTCCAATTTTAGCCTTTTAGATCTCCCCCTCTCTTCCTTTGTACCGCTATGATGGGGGCTCCTCCTGCACCTCGCCGTCCACTTCAAATCGTTCTTTGGGTTTATTGTGCATCAGGTGCAGTAACGCTAAAGTTCATCCATCCACTCGTATCACCCACAGGAAGTCGTTTTAGGATTTTAACCCGTGTTTTTAGGGTGTGGTTTTTAATTAGCAGGCGCTTCATCTTTACTGCACGCTGTCTTAATCTTCTGACTGGATGCAGCTCTGCACAGCAGGGTGAGCTGCCCCTGTGCAATTTGCAGTTTTGCATGTTGACCACGTGACTTTAACTCGTCCACGGCTTTGGTTGGTGACAATTATGGTTACGGGTGGGATCAAGAGAATAAGGCCCCAAACCAGGCTGCGAGTGGGTGATGTACTGCTGGAGTCCCAGTCAAAGGTCTCCAGACCAGTTAGTGACTCCTGGAAACCACCTGTTGCTAAGGAAAACCTGTACTCGTCTTTGTGATTGCTGCAGTCGTACTTTCAAAGGATTGTCTATGAAAGCTGGGGAGCGTGCCGTAGACTGGACTGGGCCGACCGCTGAGTGTCGACCGTCATAACTACAGTACATGGTGTTTGGGTGAGATGCTTTGTAACTTCAGTCACGATTTTCACCGAGATTTAACACAAAATCCAAACCACACTGTGCCACTGCCCAAACACAACAAAGTATAAAAACTGTTCCTTTGTGTTACATTCATACCAAATCACGTGTTTGAAGCAGTTCTTTCTTCCACACATTGATTCTCTGTATGCCATCGATGAACGTAGAGATGCATCTTTGATTAATACAACATCTTTTAGACTTTCTGCAAAATGAAAAAAGTTGAACCTGATCAAAGTCCTTTCTAAATGATGCTCATCGAGGCACCTTTGTAGACAGAGCTGTGGATACAGTGAAGAATAGTTATCATGACAGCGGCGCTCATGTGCCGACGTGTACACAAACATTTCTGGGGGATTTTCTGTTGACCGGTCCAGCAGTTTGTTTCTTTGTCATCTTCGGTCCTGCTGCGTCCGCCCACGCTGCCTCGCTCTGCAGGAGAATGGGAGGAAGAGGAATCCAGCAGGGAGGAGGAAGATATCAGACACGAGAGGAGGAAGTGGAGCATCTCTGTCATTTGAGCTGAAACAACACTAAACATCTGCACAGCTGCAGGGACGCGCGCCCAGTGAACGCAGCCCTGCTGCGCTGCGCTCAGCGCGCATTTACACTCACTCACATTTGTTTTTGTATGGTAACCTACATTTGTTCTGTACAGCAGCAGACTGTGAATAAATCCTCGTGGTTACCGCTAACAGCAGAGGCCATGGTTTTATCGGGTCGATCGTGGCTCAAGAGTTGGGAGTTCGTCTTGTAATCGGAAGGTTGCCGGTTCGAGCCCCGGCTTGGACAGTCTCGGTCGTTGTGTCCTTGGCAAG